TATAATCTTTGGGATTGTCCATATCGAATCTGACACCCTGTATAAATAGGAAGAAACCGGTGAACACAGAAGATGACGATAATAAATTATATTGTAACAAATAAATGAGGAAAATCTCCTATTATGAGACACGCTCCTAATACGAGATAGCAGGATGTTTGCTAAATTAATAGGCATCATCTGTTGGTTTCATCGTTAATTTGTTGCGCTTGGAGTGAAGTCTGTTTGGTGGAAAATTCATTGTTAGATCGTGTAATCGTTGCGAAATAAGGTTTGCGATTGAATTTGGATGTTGAAAATCTGCTGTCTCATAATAGAAGACTTTTCTCTAATAATGCAAGTCCCCTATTATGAGATAAACTCCTAATATGAGATAGCAGGATGTTTGCTAAATTAATAGGCATCGTCTGTTGGTCCCACCATGAATTTATTGCCCTTAGTTTAGTGGAAAATTCATTGTTAGATCGTGCAATCGTTGCGAAAAAGATTTGTGATTGAATTTCGATGTTGAAATCTGCTATCTCATATTAGAAGCCCGTCTCATAATAGGAGACTTTCCTCTAATAATGTAAAATCCCCCATTATGAGGAATTGTGTGCCCTAAAATCTGAAAGCGGTCATAAAAAGTGGTGACAGTCGAATCGAATTAGAGTCTTCGGAAAAAGATTCCACGATAAATATAATTAATATTAATACGAAGTGAATTAACTTCACCTTTAATACTTAATTAGCATTAAATTTTTTATCGGTCTGACTAATAACATCAATTCTAAATATATATTTTTAACGTCAAATATTTCTTGAGATACGATTATATGGAAATTCACTCGAGCGAACAATAGGATAGGTTGCTTGGACAAACAACAGCGATGACACACCGAGTCTTAATGTGAAAGAGTTCATTAATGAGAGAGACCTAGTTATCATGTCACGAGAGATAAGAGACACTCAAAAAAAGACACGTGGCGACAGTCTGGATAAAAAACCAGTTTGGTATTTAATTTTTTTTTCAACTGTATCCGGACGGCACAAAGAGAATCCAAAAAGAGTTTTTTCTACATTCCCGAATTATGAAATGAATTTCCATTTCCATCCCATTTCTGTTCTAAATCGGTGGAACTTTTACGTCACGAATTCTTAGCTTATTCTCGGATAGAGAAGAAGTTCTTTGCATTCGGTACAACTTGTATTGAGGAATTTACTTCATCAAAAGTCAAAAGGTATATTTCTAGGGAGATAATTTAAAAAAGATTTTTCTTTAAATTAAATTAGCGTAATCTACGAAATGAATTGAAAAGAATCCCTTTCCAGCAGCTTGAAAAGGATTCCGTAGAAATATACCTTTTAATTTCTCATGGGAGTAAATCCTGAATACAAGTTGTCGACAATACAATCTTTTTTCTATTTATAAGGATCGCTCGTACGAGGGTCATTTGATAAGTTCGATAAATTTCTAAGAGTTGACACCACAATCCATTTGGCGACGGGTTGCCTGGTAAGTTTCATTCTTCAAACCACCCCAAATTTCAGCTAGAAGTGATATATTGTTCACGTTCGGTAGTCGTTTGAAGCGAGCGGTTTGCCAGTTGTGACAATCGAAAAAAAAACGAATTTCGTGCAGAATTACACGAATTGGGTTTCAAATTGGTTGCCCATCCACCGTATTCTTAGGATTTGGCCTCATGAGACTTCTTCCTGTCCCTAAACTTCACTGGATCGATGGGAAGAAATTCTCGTGAAATGAGGAAGTCATCGTCTACGTCAATGAGTGTTTTGCCGTTAGCTTCAAATGATCGAACGTGAAACCACGCGTCACTTCTGGCTGAAATTTGGCCTGGGGTGGTTTAAAGAATGAAACTTACCAGGCAACCCGTCGCCAAATGGATTGTGGTGCTCTCTAAGAAACTCTCAGACATTTGCGAAACTTATCTCGTACTATTTCGGTATTATGATGATCGAAACTTCGATATCACGTCACGTTATCTGCCCCAGTAACCTGCCAACTAACAGTTGCGTAACATCAATATTATAATTTTCTACTCAGCAATACAACCGTTACATACAACACGCGTTATATTAGAGGAAAGTCCTCTATTATGAAATAGGAGTCTAATACGAGATAGTAGTTTTCAACGTCCAAATTCAATTAAAAAAATCTTTTTTCGCAACGACTACGCGATATAACAGTCAATTTTCCACTAAACAGATTTCACTCCAAGGGCAATAAGTTCATGGTGGAACCAACAGATAGATGAAGCCTATTATTCAGTAGAAACTCCGTTATCTCATATTAAGAACCTATCTCGTAATAGGGGACCCTCCTGTACATTTATATCGTTGGGGAAGAAATTTTAATATTGCCGTTACGCAACCGATAGTAGACGTTCACCGGGATCTTCACCTTATCTCACCTGTGCGTAAGAAACAGAAATTTACTCCAGAGCGCAATTACGCATACGCTTTACATAGATTAGATCCGAATTGTTAATTGACGCCGCTGGTGCCATCGACCTTAACGAGCAACGTTATCGCCGATTGACGCCAGGATTATCGTGCAAGATTATCACGTCGCGAGATAACGGAGAGGTGCGATACGGAGAAACACCTGCACGGCGAGCGATAACGAAGAGTGCCTTCCCGTCGCGGCAGCGATCAGTCAACCGCGATGCGTGCGATCGTAGTTTTGACGCAAGACTACTTTTACTACGCGGAGACGCACAGACGCATGGAACGTCATCGCCAAGCCGGCGATATCGCGCGCGCTTCGAGGAAAAAAAGCCAGCTGCTCACCGAGTTTCGTCACTCGATCGTCGCTCGATCGCGGAAGCGTAGATAGCGAAACGCGAGACGACAAAGGAGCGAGAAAAATAATAGCGCACAGCTGGGCCGAGAAAAATAATAGCGGTAGCGGGGAGGCGAGGGAATAGCGCGTGGTCGCGCGTATTATCTTGTTGTTTAAACGTACACGTTGCGAAAAACAGCGCAAATATGCGTTTTTCGTATCGTACAATTTGACGCACGCGATAAACGGGACTGTTTCGGCTTGTAAAATTACTCCGACCCTCTCGTTGCTTCGCGACTGGTCGGGAGACTGTACATACGAATTCGCGATCGCGCTCAAATCGAATTACTCGGACAGCCGAGTCTGGCCGTCTGACACTCGACACTCTCTAGAGATCAATCAGTGGATTATCACTGAAAACAGTGAATATTCACTGAATTATTCAGTGCTATACTTAAGAGGAAAGTCTTCTATTATGAGTTAGGATTCTAATACGAGGTAGCAGGTTTTCAACGTCCAGATTCAATCACAATTTTTTTTTCGCGACGAGTACACGATCTAACAATCAGTTTTTCAGTAAACAGATTTCACTTCAAAGGGCAACAAATTCATAGTGGAACCAACAGATGATGCCAATTAATTTAGCAGAAATTCCACTATCCCATAATTATGAGCTTATCTCATAGCAGGGGATTTTTCTCTATAACTGTTTACAGTGATAATGCACTGAATGACTTTTAGATTTTATCGGCAAGACGCTAGACGCGTCTGTTAGAAAAATGATGGCAGATCGACTGCAGAGACGGAGGGGAATCTGCATAATTTAAATGATTACGAAACAACAGACTTTGCTTATGTTAATGATTTTGTATCGGGACAAATTCCGCTGGTGGAGCACGTTAAACGGCAGACGCAGCTGATGCAGCTCCACCATAATCCTGCTCGAATCTGCTGACATTTTGTTTACTGAATCTTTTAAACGGAAACCTTCATTTCTGAACTAATACAGAGATAACAAATGTAGAGCAGCATTGGATAATATAATCACGTATAATACGTGATTATATTATTACGTGATAATATAATTTTGTTACAAACGAACGTATCTTGATTAATATTATAGTAATATTTTGTGTCACCGTTACATAAAGCTCCTCGATAAGAGCGCAATTATTGGAGCTGATAGAAAAACAATATTTAATAGATGTTGCATAAAGACTTACGTAAGGAGTTTTTTAAGGCTCTTGTAGCGGGATTCTGTAACTCGTTATGCAATTATTTCCGTTAAATTATCGTTGTGCAGGTATAATATACGATGAAACAGCTGCGCAACGACAACGACACTTCGTAACGAGTTACACGACTGAAGCGCGTCAACGAAGGGATGAAAATTCGATTTACGCGGCGCCAGAAGATTATAAACGACTTAATCCTGCCTGCAGGGCAGTGGCAGCACCCGATGGGTGTGATGTTAAATAACGCGCCCGGCTTCAATTATAATAATAATTCGCTCGCTCGCAGCCCGATTTTCTCTCTAAATAGTCGCCGAGTCGAGAATGAAGATTCGAAAATTTGCTCTTGATCCTCCGATTAATAATCCCTTCGTTTGCGAAATTAACCCTCCAGTCGTCTTTAAAATAAATATGGTCTTCTCTTATTCCACATTCGAACATCTAAAAAAGAACAAACAAAAATATTAAAATTTCCTACGCAAAAGATTTCGGGCCTAGTCTTCGCCTGATATTTGTCACTTACAAGTCTGCATTGCAATTTGCACTTGTTTTCGTTCGTCTGTCGAACCAGCATTTTAAAACTCTATCTCCCCAAAATACTGTAAAAACATATGACATGTGACAAGTGATAAAAGTGTTCCTGTGACGTTAAATCGATCTGAAGTGTTTTTTGTTTCATCCAAATATCTTTTCATTTAAAAACAACGCAAGAATTCCCAGTATGACATTTCTCGCTTCTAACGTCATTAAACAAGGGGCACTTGCAGGAGAAACCAGGAGCCTTAAACGAGTTCGATTTACGGCTCGCTCCGATGGGTCTTCGTCGCGCGGCCGCAAATGTAACGAAACACGCGGTCGGGAGATTCTTTATAATTTATTTATTGATAAGTAAAATTACATATATCCACAAACACAATACGTTCTTTTCACGGGGTGTAATAATGCATTAAAACTTGTGAGCGGCGAGGAGAAATGCCTGCGAAGGAGAAAGAGGGACGAGGAGAGTTTGCTTTTCTTTCTCAAGTCTTTCGACAGTCTGCACCCCCTTGTGTCTCTCGTGAACAACAGCAAACCGCGGCAATCGCCTCTCTATCGCGATTGTCAATGATAAGTAAAAGAAGAGACGTAGGGAGAATCCCCGAAGGGTTCGCGATGCGGAAGCGAACAAGCCTGGAATTTGCAAGACACACTTTGACGCCGGAAATGAAATCGTATATGAAATAAAAACCCGTCCTGAGTCGGTTTCATCTCGATGAACATTCTTTCGGAAATCGAAAGATCAGCTCACACGCGCACGTTACATGCGTATAAGATACGTGATGCACATGCTGGAATGTATGAAAACATATGAATATTTATTAACCTACCGGTAAGCGTCAACTATTCCATGCATTTAAAAAGAATGCAAAATTGCTTTCCTTTTGTGCGAGACAAGTTCTCGGCGTGATAATGCAAGACTGAAATTCTAACAGCACGCTGCAGATACTCTCACAGAACGATCGTTTGTAGCCTGCCTCGTTTCTGGCCGACACAATTTAGTCTAACGTAATTAAAACGCTCTCGCTACGGATTGCCGTTGTCCACGGGAAGAGAAAGCAAAACCTTTCGCGCATACAATGATATATTCGTCAGAGTTCGGAATTTTTGATACGCTACGATAAGAACGTAACGGGGGCGATTAGAGTTACCCTTGCGCCACGCACTGTCTTCGTCTGCATTATACGTGTCGTTGACGTCACGATCTTAGTAAACTTAATGAATTTCACTTCGCTCTCGACTTATCGTCTTGATAACGGAAGCTAAATCGAATTCTCGATCACGGATTTCCGATCCGGGTGGAACGAGCCGGTTTCTAATCGGGCTGTTATCGCATCGCGCAAGGGTCAACGAATACGATTGACGATTTTTCGGAATCGAAGATAAAGTGCGAGGGACACGTAATCGTGCTACTCGATAAGCCGCCCGAAGACAAGAGGATGACGCGAGGAGACACCGAAAAAACTGTAAAAATAAAGTCCAGTTTTAGTCTCATTATTATACTCTTTCTCCGTCTCTGGACTCGCTAATCTCTGGACTGCGACTTGAAGGACGTATATTTCTTTCTTTTTATTTTCTTCTCCTTCACGCCTCACATGGCTGTTAAGCTAAGTTTCAGTTATCTCGATATAATATATATGTATATATATATATATATACTTATTACCTCTTTACAAAAATCAATTCTTAAACTTATACGTACGGAGGTGGCCCGATGCAAATTCACAGTATCTTGAAGCGCACACGCCGACCTTCTTTTCTCTCCCTCTCTCTCTTCTCTCTCTCCTTCAATCTTTTCCCGCTACAATCGAATCACCGAAACATGATATGCTCCGACTATTGGCTAATACTGATACCTCCCCGATGGCTTCTACAAAAGTCATCGGGAGAGCATTGGACCGTTGTTGCTTGCGTTATGGCGCAATCGCGCGTTTTCACTCTGGGTAAAAATCGGCGAGTCGACTTGCATGCTTATACACGCGAAATACAATGTCTCCAAATTCGCTGCTTGGCTTTGCACTTAATCGCGATTAAATTCAACGAACGATATATGTATATATATATATGTACGCACGCCGATCACAAATCATCCTCAATACAAGCCAATCGTAATTGATTGCAAACTATCCTTCTGCGAGAGCAGCTCTAGCTTTGTGTGTGAGCCTTAGAAAAATAATAAGTCCCTTTACAATCGCCTGAGGTCTCCAGCATCTGTGAATCCGTATCAAGGTCAGATTTCTTTTCCATATGCGATGTTGTCTCCATGTTGTTTAACGACTATATACGCTATAGGTACATAATGTTTAATTTATTATGTATACATGTATATGCATGTGTATATCCATATATATATTTAAATATATATATGTATATTTGTGTATATATATCTCTCTCTATATATTATTCCCGTACGTCGTACACACACACACACATACACGCACACGCACACGCACACATACACACACACACACACACACACACACACACATATACATATATAATAGACATTTTATATCATTATTGTTAACGCATTGATGCTATCTGCTGTTATTCGTATAATCATAGTACATTTACTGGTATAATTGCTATCGTCTTACAATATATCTAAAATAATATTTTTAACATTCAGCAATGTGTTGTTTAATGTGTGTGTCTGTGTCTTGCATCTTGTTGGTTGCCTGTTGTCGCCGGTTTACACACTCTTTTCCACCGGAGTTGCGTGAAAACAAACGATCGGTGTGTGTATGTGTGTGTGAGAGAGATTCGCGCTAGATAGATAGGAAAGGCAGCTGCTTCACGTGCGCTTAGGAGATACAATATCTAAAAGGATCTTCCCTCCCTTTCCCTTTTTCTTCTTTTTAATCGCTCTAATTCGCCGGCGATTATTGTGTCGCGCGTTTACAATCTTGGTGAGCGCAATCGAAGGGGACCACCTTAGCACGTAACTGGGAATGTATGTACTCATGCATGGACCGTGTGGAGCGTTATTTCACACAAGAGACAGAACAGCGACTCTTTAGCGTTAAGTAGTAATCTATATCGTAATAATAGTAACCATCGCGCGCCGCCGAGAGCTAAACATCCCGTCTCTTTCAAACATATATTACCGACCGTATCGATACGTCGGCGATCGACCGACTCGAGCGCGTCGAGGTGCATCAACGGTGCACCAACGATAGCGATGATTGTGCTCTTATCACGCTGCGACCATAGATAAACGTCATAAAGACGACCTAAAAAAAAAAACGTTCTAATCCTTTAGACACCTGAAAAACGTACCTCCCGCAAAGACGTCGCAGATATATCCTAATCTTCCAGACATCGTAAAGAGGTCACGCGATCTTTCACGTCTTTTTTTATCGGGGAGGGAGGTGTCCTCAAGGTCTGCGTGGTGATTGAGTGCTACCACTTGACCACCGATGGCCGTAGGGACGGTAAATGGCTCTATGGACCGCGGCAGCGTATTCGCATCGCATCGCAAGCGTCACCGAGACCTCTTTATACAAATAAAGTCCGACGAAAGCGCGCAATATGTATTCCAAGATAAATGAGAAAAGAACTGTGCTTCCCCACGCGACCCTGGCGCTAAAGTGCTGGCTACTACCTTTTTCTTTTATCGTTTGACCATATACAAATATATAAGCATTAAACGTGTAATATATTATATCATCATCGTCGTCGTCGTATATAATTAGTAATATCCTAAGATAGTTATTGTATGAACGATCTTTCTTTCCCTCTTTTTTTTCCCCCCCGAGAACGCAAAACGCGGAAACGAAAAAGAAACGCTTATCTCAACAGCCGCCGCTTCTTCCTTTTCCCTTGTTTTCCCCCTTCTTTCTCGACTTAACAGTCGGAGGTACTAATGCCACTCGAATGTGATCTCCGGTTGAACTGTTCCTCTTGTTCGACAGCATCGGCATGATCTGTTCGATGCGTCGCGGACGCCGTTCCTCGGCGAGATCGGACGACGCTGCCGAACATTTTCCATGCTAGCGTTCTCAGCACCTCGACAAAGTGGACTTTCGCGCGGAATGATAGAGCATCTGACTTCCTCGTAATTGTTATTAAATCGAGATACGTCAATTTTATGATTCTTCAATGATTCTTAGTTTGCTTACGTCTTAAGGTTCTTTATCATCTAAGAGTAGACGTTAAGTACTGAAAAAGATCACCGAGAGAAATCAGGCAGTGGGAATCGAACGGAGACGGAGGGAATAAAACAGCTGTATCACGAAGATAGAGGAGTGAAAACGTGCAACGATGAGATGGCGCGTGTGTACGTGGGTACGTTCTGATATTTTAAGAGTGCCGCGTAGCTCGCTCGCGCGCTCGGTTATTTTAGCATAACGTTAACGATTACGCCATTAATCGGAGTATTTATCTCTATATGCTGCCCCCAGTGACAAGCTACTACGATCGCTATCGCATTTTTTTTTCTTCGTGTTTAATATTTTAAGCTGCATTATGTCTTATTGCCATTGATTATCTCCGAAAATATCAGAACCTAAAAATACAGCAAAGAGCGCAACGACAACGCGTTCACCGACGCTTACATCGCCCGTGTGAACGCGGTTACTAGCATCGTACGAACGTTCGTCACCGAGGAGCGAGCGCGACCAGCCACCGAACGCCGGTCGTCAATCGATCCGCGGCGCTTCCGGTTCGAGTGCATAACGTGTAGAGGCGGAGGAACATCGAGGTACGTCTAAAAACGGCGTTTTCTACTTTTACAACACGAGCGCTCCTTCCTGCGTTTTTATATCGACATGTATGACAACGTAATAAAAACGATGTGTGTATGAGATACTTCCGAAGATAGCGTGTTCGTATGGCACATATAGGTATATGCTGAATTCTACGTCATTTTTATCTCCCCGTAGAATCCGTTTCGTTTCCCATCCAGCGTGTCCTTGCTACAAACTGTATTTTACATATATATTGTCAATTCTTCGCGAAATCGATTTACACCGCGACACGTGACCGTGATGCGTACAAGCGGACGCGATGTGTGACGGCGGTGGTATCGTCGCAGGCGCGAGCAGCCGATTAGGAAACGCGTTTTCTGAATTTGCGCACTTCCGGGATGTTGCAGATCCGGATCTTCGGAAGAATCTCGGGGGTTAGAGATATACATACTATTTATATATATCTTACTCTAACAAAATACTATGAGATTCTTGAAGAAAATACGCGAGAACGAATACGCGGTTGCGACCAGCTTCAGAAATCAAAATATCTGTGATAATTCTCGAGGCAGCGGCCGAATTATTCCTTCACCTCGAAGTATTTGTATGTAGGATTCTCGTAACCGTTGATCTGCATATTCGCGACGTGTCGTTCCTCGGGCGTGGCCGCTTGATCGACCTCGATGAAGCCCTGCGAGGAAACGGGAAATGCCAGTTATCACATTACGTTGTCAATTAGCGTATTATTACAACGCATTACTCTTCTTCAATTACATGCATTTTCGTTAGGATCGTACATTAAAACATCGCACGCAGTGATTATCGATAAACAATAGCGCACAACATTGCGAATTATTACTGTGAAAACACGTTGACGTGTCTTTTAATGTATAATAATAATATACCTGGCTGTGAGGGCTTCTCGCGCTGCGCCTCTTGAATACCGCGACGCCAACGACTGCAGCCGCCATGAGTGCTATCCCAGCGAACGCGAGTGTGAAGTAAACGGATCGACTCTCTCTGTGATACACCTCTCGTCTTACGGAATAGCCCTGCGAAATTAACGGGATTTCATAGTTAATTTATTCTTGGCAAATCTTAGAAAATATTATTGGAAAGTATAATTTCTAACGAGGAAATACATTTCAAGATACTCTTCTTGTTCCGTTTCGTTAATGACAGGAATTTGCGATAATAGAATAAAAAATGTATAACAAGAAAACAGCGAGATTTGGCGACGATGACTCATAGGCTTTATAGTTGGGGTAAATTTTCTTACTGGCTCGGAGTGAGAAACGTCGTGAGTCATGCTGTGGGCCGCTCTAACTACTCCCTCATTATGCATGGCGGCAACCGCGGCGGGTTGTTCCGATTGCTGAGGAATATCCTTGGTATCGATTGCCGAGTCGTTCTCCTCGTGCTGTTCTTGCTCTGTGCGTAGCTCGCCGCGTTCTGCCTTACGTTGTTCCTTGCGCGCGCGCTCGAGCTGCTTCTGATGTTCCTTTTCTGTGAAACACAAAAGTAAAGTGAAACACACGCACGTTTGTACAACTTTTGCTCGGCGAGAATGTGCCATAAATACCTTGCTGTTTGCTAGCAACATCGGCCTGATACTTGTCTAGAATAGCCGCCTCCGCTTCGCGCGTCATCGCCAGCAGCAATCCCGGAGTTTCATCCTTACTCCTGAGGGCCAAAACGTAATCGTCCATGAGACGGCCGATCTTTGCACTTAGGTCTGGATATCTGAACACAAGAAAAGAAAAAATGAGCCTCTAATGTCTTTGCGGTCGTGGCGTTAATCGCTACGCGTGCAACGTGTCGCGCGAGCCGCGGTGTGTCTAAGTGATTAATGGTATAAAAATGTACGTCTGAAATATATACGTTACCGTTCTAACATCAAGAGACTCTGATTGGTGATCCTATCAATTTCCGCCAGATGCTCCAGAGTGGCTGGCTTCTCTCGCTGCGCCTGTTCTAAGCTGCTGTCGAGGAGATGCTTGTAATGGGCTATTGTGTGGTGCCTGTCTTTGTGAAGGGCTCTGAGCAGCTTTTGCAGGCATTTTTGAATACGGTGCATCTACAGAACATACAGGTCGATCGTTAGGCAGAAAGATAAGAGGTGTTCTTTGTGCAAAAATATATTACACGAAACTAACATTCGGCGGCGTCTCGTTAAGGGCTGCGGTGTAGCACGACATAGCTTCCTCGTTCCTCTGTTTAACCGCCTCCTGCGGAGGAAGAATTTTTACTAAATATAATTACGTTCGATGAACACTGGAGATTATTATTCGTCGCTCGACCAAAAAAAAAAGAGTAGAATTATTAGCAATAGTAATTTTAAAAGTGTTTGTTCGAATTATTTATTTCTTACAAAGAAACAATATCCAATCGTTGCGTAACATTTTGACGATTACTTGTAAGTAGATTTTTCTCTTTGCTGAACATCTTTTCAAATGGTTTCAGTCGTTCAGAAAATAATGTAAAACTCAAAGTCGGGAGACCTTATCAAAATAGATTTACGTTCGCTTTTTGTTGGAAATTCGTAACGTTTCAAAGGGCTTGACGCTTTTTGTCGGATGACTTTCAGAATAATTCGTATCATATCGCCCGTTTCCACGTACCTGCACTCTCTGCTGGTGCATCGCGCTTAACTGATGCTTTTCCGCCGCGCCGCTCTCCTCGAGCGCGGCGACTGTCTCCTGGAATCGCGCCGTCATCCAGCGCTTGAAAGCGTCCGCGGCGACGGGATCGTGGGCCCTGATGTCCTGATATCTCTCCTCGAGGTCACTCCAATCCTTCATCACCTGAAAGCGTTGTAGCACAAAGATTTCGACACCAATGTCCCGCGCCATAATACTTATTTTCCAAAAGCCCCGTTTCTCTCTCGTACTCTACCTTTCTCGAATGCAATTCCAATATCTTGACTTAACGATCATACCTTAACTTTCTCCTAAACAGGCGAAGGTAACTGTACGCTAGACAGGTGAAGACGCACAGTACGATACGCGCTGCCTTCCCCCCCCCCATTGCGATTAATCGAACTTACTTTCGTAACTTTCTCCTTGTGCACCTCCTCAAGTCGCATCTGAGCCTGCTTGTAGCTCTGGTGCTCGGATCGCGGATCGAAGTGCGTCAGATAAGGATCGGGAGTGCCTTGCGGCTGCGAGGGCTGCTGCGTGCTTGTGCTAACCGGCAGCGGCATCGCCGTCGCGTCCTGCTTGCTCTTCTCCGTCGTTGAAACGGTCGTCGATGGCCGACTGATGTTCGTTAACAGATTTACAAGAAATATATAACTTTCACGTGTAGAATATGCGACCCCCGCCTTAATTAATTTCAACTCGACGTTAGATTCGATTAAGTTTCCATTCTTTTTAATTTGATAAGAAGAAACAGAGATTCATCTCAAGATTCATTAAAACGGCTGTACGAACGCAAGTCTCAAAGGCGCTTGCACTACTCCGCAACTACCTGGTAGTTGTGTCGTAATCATCGAGATCGTCATATTCCTCCTCGCTCTCGTCCTCGTCGGGCTGATTGCTGAGCACGTCCTCGAGATCACCGTCGGAGTTGTCTTCGTCCTCGGCGTCGCCGTCCAGATCGTCCTCGTCATCGATATCGTCCTCGTCCTCGTCAAGATCATCGTCCACGCTCTTCGGTAAGGGCAGATCGATCGGCTTCTTCACCTTCACGTTCTCTGCAAAGGGATTTGCGCGCGTTATTCCTCACTACGTCCGCGTTCGACATGATTCATCGTTACATAAGTGCGTAAAGCGCGCGTAATGACGACGATCGTTGGCTCTGAAAATAGGCTCTCCAGCGTGCGCACCGCTCGCGCCCAACCTGCATAGAGAAAAAGAAGACGGAGGTCGTTTAATTAATACCGCACTGCATACCGCACTCGTCTCTGATTATGCGAAAGTGCCTTCTTTTTTCCCTCGAGTCCCTCTAACGATAACGATTCGGCGTACACACACACACACACCCAGAAAGACGTCCGTACGTTCGTGCACGTACGTGACGCGGTAGGTGCAATTATTGGAATTCCTGTCTGCGCGCACATTCCAGTATATCGACTGCCATTGTTTGAATAGTAAATGGACGGGATTGGGCTGGCCGCAGATAGCTCCGCGGAATTCTGGCCCATAATCTAAATCAATGCGCGCCAGTGATACACTGCCAGTGTCACCGGCCGCTTGATTATTTATCGATACACCCGGAAAGAAACGGCGCGATTGTTATTCGATAGATTTATGAATGCGATTCGCGACGGACGAAGGTGGTCCCGACTCCTCCGACGCGAGGGGGCGGTCGAGCTAAACGGCGCAGCGGTGGATATTCGCCCTGCAAAAGAATTAATCGGTCGATTAATCAATCGGGGAAGAATCGGGGAAGATACGAGTTCATTCGGCGAAGGACGTATTCTAAAGTTGAAGCCTACTTTTCCCACTGGATTGCTCACGAGAGCCAGTCGGGACGCAGAGTTTTAGATCAGGTGACCCTAAGGCTAAATCCTGATTAGCTCTCGCGAGCAATCCAGTGGGGAAAAAATAGTGTCGCGCGTGGCGAAAACGACGCGGACGCGGGACACTCGCCGCTCGCGGAAGTGCGTTTGAACCGCGCGAGGGGCGCATTTTCCTTCCTCCCTCAGCCCGGTTCCGCGTCCTTTCCGCGGCTTAGAAATTCTAATTTGGCTGCTCGGGAGAAGCGCGGCTCGGCTAACTAGGTTCTCGAGAGATGTGTCTCGCCCGCTCGAGAATAGCGGGCTCTGATGAGACGACTTCTCGACTTCTGCTAAGGCAGACAAAAGCCCCACCTGACCGTATCCTCCGCGCGCGCCGTCCTTTTATCTGGGTCACACGCCGGCAGATACGGCGATAACTGCACGCGTTGGCAGTTTCTCCGGGGATACCTCGTGTCACGACTGTTCGTCACGGAGAGTTATGGATTCCTCGCGAGGACGCGGTTTATCCGGGATCGATCGGGGCGGGCGCCGAGCACGGGGGAATGACGGAGATTCAATGTTATCAGTGCCAATAACGAAAGTTATGCGAACTCTGAGTTTGCACGTCTCTGAAATGCACCGCACTCGAGGCTCCTTCCAAGGCGCAAACATTTATTCCTCGAGGCTCTAACGAAGCGGGGTTGGTTAGTGTCTCATTCTGGCAAGTGGACCGCGCTTTCGCGGGACGCCTGGGCGAAATAAAGCGCGCTTAAAGCGCAGAACAACCCCCTCGTCGCAGGCACGGACGATATTCGCGCGAGCGATAAGGGTTTTTTTCAAGTTTCACGCGCGTCGAAGATGGAGGATCGCAGCGCGACTCGAGTCCCTCAATTTCTCGTCTACGATAACTCGATTTCAACCGCGAGAGTCTCGGGGAGTCGAGTCGCTCGCGGGGTCGGAAATTCCGCCGTTCCCTTGAAGCGCGTCAATTACCGAAGCGACCCGCGCGGCTGGCGGTCGTGCCCTAAACGCGCCATCCCACCCCCGATTTGATTTCGGCGTGGCGGCGCGCGGCCCATTTTTCATCCCCGCGGACGACACGTTCCAGGCTCCGGAGTTACACATTACCTATGCTGAAAATAATGGAGCGGAGAGGATTCAAGCGGGTGGTGGCGCACACGGGCGGACGAAACGGACGGCCCGCGCGTGTGCTAATCGAGTCCATTATACACGCGGTGTGTAGGAAAGAAAAGTTGCGCAGCGACGCCGAAAGCTACGGCGTGTTACGTTGCGCAGTCGTCGGGAACGTCGACGGCGAACATTATTGATTGCACGAGGGAGAGAGAAGACAAGAGGGCTCGCGACGAGAGGAAGAGAAAGCGAGAGACGTAGGTATATAGAGGGCGGGAAAGGGAGGGAGGGAGGGAAGGAGGGAGCGAGAGACCGAGAGAGAGAGAGAAAGAGAGAGCTTGCGAAGGGTGGCACGAGCCAGCCGGGGTGCTGGAAGGAAACGAGGAAGGAGACGAGGCGAAGTAGGTGGCACCCCTCGCTTAATACACCCTCTTTGCACCCTCCTACGGCCATTCTTTCTCTTTCTCCCTCTTCCCCCCCCCCCCTTTGTCCCGTCTCTCTCGCGCGCGCCTTCTCTTTGTTCTTTGCGACAGTCGATTGGAAACGAACAGCGCAAATGCCCGGTATTTCCACCGTGCAATAAATACGCCGCGAATTCGCCGTAAATATTCATGCCTCGCCGTCTTCTCTCTTCCGATATGCTTTTTGATAGACACGCGTTCCATTAATCGTTCCGCTCTAGAAATTGGAAAATAACGGAGAGGCGAGGGAATAATAGAACGTGCCATCGAAACGAAAATCGAATGACGGGCGTTGAAAAGTTCAATGCGAGCGTAAGGGAGGCTCGGTGGTACATCATCGAGGCAGATAGCATCTTCGCGAGTGCGAGGACGGATTTTGACATCCAGCGGCACTGTTTAACGTCTCATCGCCCCGTTATTCAACGTGTAATAAAACTAGAATTGATTACAAGCTGCAGACGATCTTGTTTCGAAGAACAGGCGAACGCCGTTCTCGAGCTCTTCCTCAAATTGTGCAGAGGCGCGATTCTCGAAAATGTATAAAAGCCCCCGCCGGAGGATTGACTTTAAACCGTCGGTCCGAAATTGCAATTCAATTCCGTCGCATCGCGAGCGGGCGGGCGGGCGGGCGTGCCGCGCGCAGGATCCCGCCCGTCTGAAATCTCGAAATAAGATCGTCGCAAGTATCTCCACTTTACGGTAAAATGACCTCGCGCCAAGAAGACACCCGAGCGCCTCGCGCGAAGCTCCCGCTCGTCACGGAGAGGATGTCACGGTATGGAGATGCGGACGCAGCGAAACGCTCGCGCCGATAGAATATGCATGAAGGGGAACGCGAGTGCCGGCGCGGCATTCCCGCGAACGCGAGAATACGCGCCCTCGCCCCCTTCCGCCCTCCGATCCTGCCGTGGCGCGCGGCGGCGGCGCGGGGCGTCTTCTTCCGCGCGCGCGATGCGAGATGAGAACAACACGAATATGAATGGTGATAAGGCATGAGCGTACGTACGTTACGTACCTTTCAGGTGTTTCGGGCAGCATACAAATTCGACGCCGGAGAACAGGGATATCCCGCACGGCAGCAGCATCGCGAAGCTACGCAGATTCATGTTTCGCTCCCGGCAGGTCTCCGCCGCCGTGGCATTCCATCTGGAAACGCGAATCGCACTCGATGCAGTCGCGTGTACAGTGCGGGAGAGACGCACCCTCCCCCGATCTACCCGCGGCGCGACAAGCCAGCCTTTCTCTCATTTTTCAGATCTTATAAAAATACGTCGCCAGACCGTTTAACAAGTAAACTAGAAGTAGTAGGTAGTGGAGGAGTAAGACAAACTAGACAGGCGGGGGACATTGTATAATTGAATTTCGTAAAACCGGAAGTGCGCAAAAAAAGTATGTTCTACGAGGGAGTGAAAATGTACGATGTGTTGTCAACCAAGATAAGGCAGTGCGAAAAGACTGAGTCATTGAAAAGAGTGTTGAAAGAATATGTTGCAACAAATGTATGGAGAAAGCTAAATAAATATCCATCTCTCTCTCTCTCTCTCTCTCTCTCTCATTTTTAAGATTTAAAAAAATATGTTGCCTGACCATTTAAGAAGTAAACTATTGTAGAAGTAGTAGGTAGTGAAGGAGTAAGACAGGCAGGAGGTATTGCAGTTCAATTTCGCAAAACAAAAAAGTGCGCAAAAAAGTATGTTCTATGAAGGAGTGAAAATGTACAATGTGTTACCAACCAAGATAAGGCGGTGTGAGAAGATTGGGTAATTTAAATGAGCGTTAAAAGAATATGTTGCAAATGTATTGAGAGGAAGCTAAATATATAAATATCAATCAATCTCGCGCGCGCTCTCTCTCTCTCGCTCTCTTCGCCGGCCACGTATACGTAGACTACACGTTGGTTTGTTTTACACGTCGGTGTAAAATAAGCGCGCAAATAACAGGCACCCGGGGGTTGCGTCACTCATTAGCGAAGTAATTAAATGTAGCCCTTAGTGGTTGTGCGATAAAGTAACGGAATAATAAGATAAAAATGAGCGAATGCGGTAGAAGTAAGTTTAGCGATAAGCGCGCGCGCAATATGAAAACAATGAAGAAACAAGAGCGACAGAAAATCTGTTTTGCATAAAACCTTACTTACGATTAAGTGAATAAATGGCATGTATAAGCGGTAAATTCGAACGGCGGATCGTGTCGCGGGGTAATTGGATCAAACGCCGAGTGCGTTTTCCTCCCCCGCGGGGAGGATCGTACTTAGACTATGTATTTCTTTCGAATCCCTCGATATCGCTTTGACGAAACGCGACATTGCAAATCTAAGCTCTCGCTCCCGAGAATTAATTCCGTTTGACGCAGCCGATATTCGCGCGCATGCACGCTCGTTACCTGTGAGACTCCCAGCATTTTGTTTGATTATGAAGATGATCAAAGAGACAGCCCTCCGGCACGAGAAGTGCGTCGCTCTGGAAGGGTCCCTCTGAAAGTAGAAAACGGTACATATTGCAGTGCGGCTCGAATTCGAGGAAAGGCTCGATTAAGCTAGTAAAGATCGCGCATCGCCAGTATTTATTCTCATTCGCTATTTCCGACCGACGATGTGCAATCCCCTCCCCCCCCCCTCTCTCTCTCTCTCTCTCTTTGAATAATCGTCACATTGTATAACGTAATTGTAATATGTAACTCACATTCGTCAATTCTTTCTTTAATCAACTAATAAGAATATCCTTCAATGTCGCCAGCAGTGATCAACAACGTCAGTGCTTTCTTGACCATATCTGGCATTTTTAATAATACAGAAAATTTATTGCGAAAAATATCACCTCAGCCAGGGTTTGGGCCTAACCTCCCTACACCCTAGGCGGGCGTCTTATCAATTCGATCACCGAAGCATGTGGTAATAATATTTGTCACAGCAACGGTATAAAGATGCTGTCTTCGCGTCTATTTTTTTACTTTAAACTGCGCGCCGATTAGGGTTATCGTACACTGTTGATACGCGATTTTTTAAGTATTCCTACCCCCCCTCCCCCATTTCCCAATTACGTGTGGGATCTTTCTATGATATTCTTTTCTTTACATTTTTAAAATGCCTCTTCCAATCAATCTGTACAACTCGATGTAACGTTGTCTTAACGTCTTAGAAGACGTGTCCTACTCTCTAACAATGAACCAGTGAATTATCACTGAAAACAATGAATAGTCACTGATTTGCATATAAGTATACAACTGAAAGTCGCAGTAGTATACTTATAACTGTAAATCAGTGACTATTCATTGTTTTCAGTGATAATCCACTGATTGATTTTTAAAGAGCATAGCGTTTAATAAACAATGATCTGATATATCTCTCTCTCTCTCTCTCTCTCTCTCTCTCTCTCTTGCTCGCTACAAAAAGGGAATTCGACGAATTAAATTGCGACGAATTATATTGGCAGCCGAAGCACGAATCTGCCGATGACTATTTATATACCTGCGCGCATATATCGAGATGTATGAAACGCCTGAAATCAATAGCGAGCCCGCGTATAAGGGATTCCCTCCAATCGTGGGACTTTATATATTATACGCTCATCTAAAATAAAATCTCACTTTAATTTTACATTATTGCACTTCCAGATTTCTTCGCGCGTCGAGTTCTTTCCGTTCCTCGAATTGGTAACTGCAATTTTAATGGCCGATTCCGCGCGGTTGAAATCCAGCCTTAGATTTTCTCCCTAAACTAAAATGTCACGGCAACAATAGCCTTCGGCTAATAAACAATTTAAGGTGAAACATTTCTTTTCCCGCACTACGCTTCTGAAAGTGTAAGCAAATAACGAGATTTTATTGTTCATTTAAATTCAAGAGCACTTGCGCAGAATTTTAATTCCGGGTTTAATTATCAAGTCCCTTAATGTTGAATATTAAAAAGTTTCAGCATAGTAATGGCCCCTCTCTCCAAAGTTTCCCTAAAGATTTATCGGAGAATCTGCTCTTAAAATATTTACGTTCGAGACACTCTATGCGAACGGTATCGGTACCGTGTGTACAAACGATTACGTAACAACGTGAGCACGCGAGCCTGCGCTCGCGCGGGTATAACGTAGAAGCACGGGGATACAAAGAGCGACAGTAGCAATTGTACCGCGGTGCATCTGTCTAAAGGACCGTCTACATTGCAAGTAAGCAGTAAGAAGTAAGAAAACGATAACCTCTACTCATCAGTGTAAAAGCTAAAGGCATAATTTTTTAAAAATATTTATAGCACTGGTCGAACTGCGCTCTAATTCCAATGTAGACGGTCCTTTAAGGATCGTCTTACAATAGACGAAGTAAGCCTGGCGTAAGAAGTAAGAGTAGGAGTAAAGAAATGAATCATTAAGGCTATTCTACAATTGCGTAAACGTGGTTGTTAGCGGTTGTACAGTGTTGTAAAACACAGTTTTAAACTAGCATTTCCGATTGTAAACCTGTTGTAAAAGATGGCTGAACTTGATCTTTCACGACTACAACGATGTAGGACGTAAAAGCTAGCCAATCATTCATTTCAATTACGACGTATCTCACTCTATTGTATATTACTTTGATGTACAACACTTACTACTACTTCTACTCCTACAACCCTACAACTACGTTTACGCAATTGTAGATTGGCCTTTAGCATTTCTTAAGCGTCGTCTACAATAACCGGCGTAAGCGTGGAGTAAGAAGTAAGAGTAGGAGTAACGTTTTTTGGCGTAAGCTGTTTACGCCGACTCAATCTACAATACGGTGAAGTAGGTGTTGTAGGCATGCGTGAAAAGGCGTAAGAGTAAGAGTAGGCGTAAGAAATAAAAATAATTCATTTCGCTTACGCCCTTACTCCAGCTCTATTAAA